CTTATAGCTAACCTTTTCAGTCGGATCGTGTTTGAATTTCAAAAAGAAAAATTCTTAAAAATAATGGGAACTGAAAAGCAAAAACATATTTCCCTTGAATAAACTGAATAAGAATGGAATCCAGGAGTATCTTGAAGGACATATTTTTGACTTCCTGAATAAAAACAAATCCAACCTAAAATATATATTTTGATTAATGAAGCTGTTGCACAAAATGAGTTACCCAAACTGAGTTTACCATGAACACTGGTGGAATGCACTCATTATAAATTTACATGCAAGTGTAAGAATAATATAAAACTAGATAAGGTTGTTCTTTTATGAAGAAGTGTGCGTGGGGATAAACTACTACTACAATATATGCAAATTAAGTAGAAGGACACAGTATCTATCTCTATCTATAAAAGGCAGGATGTGTGTGTGTGTGTGTGTGTTTAACGGATGAATGGTCGCAATTTTCGATGGTTTTGCACCAAAATTTACATGCACATGCTCCAAGTTAATGGGAAGGCCAAGACTGACTTTGCATTTCCCAACTCCTATCGATAGAGGAAATAATCGATTTTTTCATGCTTCTATGGCAGTTTTCATGTAGTTTGCAGCCATTTTCTACTGTCCAGAGTGAGAGCCTATAGCTGGCTGCCACAAATAGGCAGGAAGATTCTGTTGGCCAGCGTGAGAGCCAACAGTTGACTGACATGAATGTTAACTAGCATGCTAGCATGCAAAAAAATTCGATAGCTGCATTCATCATAAGTGGGAAAAATTTAAATCTGCATGGCACTTTACTCCAATTGGCTCATTCGCTTGCTTAAACTCAACGTTGATTCTAATTCCACAGAACTGGGTTGGGTGTGAAAAAGTATTTGTTGTTAACATTCTTTTTTCATTTGGATTTTTCCAGTTAAGAGTCCTTTTTTAAAGCTGATTGTTTTGTGTTCATTTTGTTTAGTTCTTTTTTTGTAACAGATTTAATGTTTAGTATAGAGCTTAGAAAAAATTTGCAGCGTGAGATAGGCAAGAAGTAAGGCATGTAGCAACATCAGCATGGCAAGGAAGGGCAAAAATATTTTAAGTCAAGTGATAGCGATTGCTGTAAGTGTCGTACGATTTTTTAATCAAGCACGGGCAATGCCAGGCCATGCTGCTAGTAAAATATATTTTTCTTTGTAAATACAGGGTGTGGCAAAAGTAATGCCCATTTATTATTTGAATTAAATTAAAACAAGCAATTTCTGATAAATTTTCTGAAAGTAATGTAGAAATATGTCAAATGTGTTTTGATAGGTATTCTCTCTGACAGATGTAGTCTCGTCAAGAGAAGATAACTCTCTTGTAGGTATAGCAATACTGCCTTTTATACAGAACCTAATTTACTTATCACTACACCTCCCTGAACCTAAGAGGCTTTATACCTTGATCTTTGACTTCTATGAACAACCATGGAGATATAATCTGTCTCTTAGAGTGAGTCTATTTCTTTCTATAGGAGATCTAGGCCTTAAGTGATTCTTCTTATTTAAATCATCATGATACTCTCATCCCCAGATTGTTCCTCACTACTAATGGGTATACTCATTCTCTCCTCCCTCTTCTATTCTTCACTTTCATATCTCTGGTGGTTTTCCTGATCACTCTCAATACTGAATTCATTCATTCTTTCTTGAGTCATCTGTTCTTCTGCTTCCACTTCCTTTTCCATAACTTTATGCATACTTGTTGTTCTGAATTGGTCTTCATGGGCCATTATTCCCTGTCCATTCTTTTTTAACACACCTGTGTTAAATCCCTTTTGCACCACAAAATTTGCCTTTTTAGGACTTGAATCTTTGTCCTTTCTGTACCACACACTTTCATTCATTGCAAATAACATGGGATTCAGAGCTTTTATTTGTCTTCCCATCAATGTGGATGGGATTTGTCTTCTGCCTGCATGTGGCATAGCTCTAAAACTTAGGAGTAGTTTTGGTAAATAACTCTCTATATCACGGCAGAGACTGAAGGTTGTGAGTTCACTCATTGTGGTTAGCAGTAAGTTTCATTTTTATTTTTCTCTTCAACCACAATGTGATATCCATTTTAGTTGTTGCAGCTGTTGAAAGTCCTCAAGTGATGTGATTTCCAACATCTGGTAAAGTTTTTTGCTTGTGATTCTGTTACATGAATCTACAAGGTTCCAAGATGGATCTACAGAATATGAAGCGAACCGTGGGTTTATGTGTTGTTTAATTAGGAACATGTGTGTTTATTCCTGCTAGAAGAAGTTTCACTACAAGAACATGGCAGACTCAGATATTGAATCCACCATAAAGAAGTGTAAAGAAAACCAACAAGACCGATATATATCAACAGATACATGTATTAAACAAAAAAAATTACAATGGACAAAGACATTAACATTTGTTTTTCTGTGTGAATGTAAAGAGTTTGTATTTTGGTGAATGTTCATATGTACATGTATGTGTGTATAATGTTCATGGCATCTCCTACAAATGGGAAGATGCAATCTTCTGTGAGAGCTTACATTGTAGATGTGTTTGCTGAAAATGAAGAAATGAAAAAGAACAAGGCAAGAAATTGTCCAGTATTTATAGTGTAGGGAGAGCATCCCCTAGTGAGCAATTTGGACAATTAAGGAGGAGTTAACTCTGACAAATAATCCTTGCTAAGACCTTGCTAGGCATGACTGGTGTTTTTAGGTTAATGTTTTGATTTTGTAACCATTTGCAGTGTTAGGTAAAACAACCCCTAGCATAGTTTATTTTATATCTAATTTCCTTCATCCAGTACAAGGTTTGAGAGTAATTCAAGGTAGAGGGCTACTGTTAAAATGCTATGATGAATGATGGTTGTGTGATATGAATAAGAGTGGAGGTGGTAAGAAGTGAAATTTTTTTATTCATTGTCTGTTACTTTATTCTGTAGAATTAAGAGTGAATGTAAAGAAAATAAAAAAAAAACAAAAAAAAAAACACTAGTGGCAGTACCTGAGCAAATTTTATCATTTGGGGAGAGTGGAATTCCCAAAATGGATCTAAGTATGAACTAATTAAACTATAGCTACAGCTTCTCCAAGTGCTTTCAGGATGTGGGCTATGATGGCACTCCATAGCTTCCTATCCATTGTAACCCTTAGCAGCATTTCTACCTTTGCAAAGAATCTTGCACCCCCACCTCATTCTACAATCCATTCACACAAGCTCATCAAGTAGGTGCTATTCAGGCTCTGTGTCGATCAAGTTCACAAAGCCCTTCTTTCTCGTTATGTATCCAAGAAAATTTAGTATAAGTGTCTTTTTGCTACTATTTTCTTTAGTAATTTATTCTATTTTCCTTCTTGCTTCAACATCCTACTGTAGAACCACTATAGCTACTAAAGTCAAAAAACGACTCAAAAACATTTCTTCCACAAGACCTTATAGTACCTTAATAAGAGCTCTTTAAATTTTAACAATCTTAGTGCCTCAACAAGGCACTGATGCAGGTATAGTTTTTAACAATACATTTCTATCTACCACAATAGCCTACTAGTAGTGATACACTTATGATAAAATGTTTGGTAATCATGTCTTGACAAGAGAATTCTTGTTAAAGTTATATAAGCAGTCTCAAGCAAGATTCAAACTGTTTACCAACTCTGTTTTCTGAGCTAATGTTCATTATTTCACTTCACACTTACTGGGTATAAACAGTTTTGTTATTGTTGGTCTTACACTGTAAGAGATCACTGGCATGCTGTGATGGGTGGTAACTCTTGTGTTAGAAGAGTTATTTAGTGCTGTTTCATTTCATCTTTAAGTAAGTTGGGAGGAGCAGTAGAGAAAAGTCACTGACCTAACCACACTCTTCTCAGCCATCAAAGTAGACCAGTGATAAGAACTTTATCAAAACATCTGTTGATTAGACAGATTGTAAAGAGATGTGGATACTTTAACTTTTCAAGGGACATTAATGTGAAGTAAATAGCTGGAAATGCAACTAAGTTAATCAATTCTATTTTCTGTATTGATAACTTATGTCATTTTGCACCTCAGAAGATGTCAAATTCACTTTTACTGATGTATTTGATTGGTTGATTAATTTAACACATCAGCCCTTGTTGGGCTATTGAATGTAAAAATAAATGTTTTTTTTTTTGTTTTATAAATATATTTCTGTCTATAAGCATTTACTTGGTTTGGGAATAAGTAAATATTGGTCATTTCTATTTTTGTCTGTAAGAATTTATTTGGTTAAGGGATAGGTAAATATTGGTAATTTTTATTTGGGTCTATAAACATTTTCTTGGTTCAGAGAGATGTAAATATTGGTCATTTCTATTTGAATCAAGAAGCATTTACTTGTTTGGGAAATAGATAACTATTGGTGATTTATCTTTGAGTCTATAAACATTTACTTGGTTAAAGGATGGGTTGAGATTAGTTATTTACATTTGAATCTATAAGCTTTTACTTGGTTTAAGAATAGGTAACTATTGATTGTTTATATTTTAGTCTGTAAGTATTTATTTGGCAAGTGACCCCTTTTGAGTGGGATTTATTCCTCTGCAGAAGATAAAGTTGGTGTATTCTAGGTACTCATGACAGGACAGTTTACTAACATAGTGATTTAAATTTATGTCTAAATTCTTACTATTAGTCTTTTTTGGAAAATAGAAAACCTAATAAGATCTAGAATGGGTAATTAGGATAAGTGTGAATAAGAATGAATGCATTTTAATAGATGTTTCTGTATGTGTCTTGTTTGGAGCTAAGCTTAATGCAAAGTAAATTTGATTGTACTTTTTTTAAATATCTTAATTCTTGACTATCTTCTGATTAATGTCCACAAATAAAGGATAGAAAAAACAATCAATTAAGTGATTTTTTAACAAATTCTAAATAAAAGCTCAAGAAGAAAAAGAGGAAAAAAATGTAAATAATTGAAAAGAAAGGAAACAAGTTCAAGCAATACAACTAATAAAGGGATTTGATTCAGTAATTAAATAGGAAAATTGAAACTGACACAATGTAAAGGTAAGAATTTTAAAAGGAAAGAATGAAAGTGGGGGAAAAGAGGAGATCTTTTGAGTAAAAGAGAAAAAATGATTAAACCAACAGAGGAGGAAACATTTTTTAGAGAGAGAGAGAGAGAGAGAAAGAAAGATAAATATATTAAACCTGAAGCAACAGGGAGTAGGCAAAAAAAAAGAAGTAGTAGTAGTCAAATGAATGAGAAGGGGAAGAAAAAGCAATGAGAAAACTGGAGAAAAAAAAGTGGAATTCAAGTAGGAAGAACATATGAAAAGAAGATGAATATTGGAAATAAAAATGAGAGGAATTGAAGAAAGATGAAAAGAGAAAAGAAACAGGACTGAATGGTTGGATTTGATTTTGAAGTAAGAAGAGAAATGATAATAAAACAAAAAAGTAAGGAACAAAGAAAAAAATGGAAAAAATATAGAAGTTGAAAGAAGGTAAGAAAGAGAAAAAAATGAATAGGATAAAATTCAAATAATGAAAGTAGAAAGATCACAATAGAGAAATGTACTTTGAAAGAAGAAGAAGAAGAGAAAATAGAGTGGATAAAAGAAAGGAGACCAAATGAAACAATGTCTGTGAGTAAGAGGGAAAATAGGGAAGGAACTGAAGAAAAAAAAATAATAGGAGTATTGTAGGTAAAGAAAAGAGGAAGGAAGAAGAAAGGGAGAAACAACAAAAAAAAAAACACTGCAAGTGAAGGAAATAGCAAAAAACAAAACTGAAGTTCAAGAATAATGCAAATAAGCAGATATCAAAATTTATTTAGAGAGAAAAAGAATTTTCCATGAGCAAACATAAATAAAATCAGTTAATTCTTATTTAAGATTACAACTCTGACATAGGCAAAAACTTATTCTGTTCACTATAATCTAACAGTAAGTTGAAATGAGTTAAGAGGGAGTTTTTTTTTTTTTTAATTTCCTGCTGATTTCTGAACATACTATCTTTGTATTTGAGATGTTAATTATATTTGAAGAGTTTTCCATCAAGATATAATCCAGCCCTGAAACCAGTGTTGATTATCCTTGTTTGGGAATGTATTGTCACCAATCAACTGTGCTTTTATTCATCTGTGTTTTCCATATTGAATTTAGAGTCATGAGTAAACATCTATGCATGTTTTTTTTTTTTTTTACTAATGTGGATGATTTTATCTGACATGATAGTCATGGATTCACTCAGGCATAAGATAAAATACTAAATCTCTTATGCTTGAAATGCAGATTTACAGCTTGAGAATAGATGCAAATAAACTAGCATATAATCACTATTTTGATGGTAATTTTTCAGATGTGCTTTGAAGGTTAAGAGGGTTATAAGTTATGATTGAGTTGTTTATCTTATAACAACATCGATTCTAACTATATAACAGTATAATTGATTTGGATATATATTTGCCTTGTGTAATAATTAAAAGAAAATGTACAGTGTTGATAAATACAAAATATATCTTTATATAACACAATAAAATAATACAATAGGATAAGGTAAAATTTGAAGTTTCAAGAGTTCACATGTAAGAGTCCTGGTGCATAAGAGAGACAGAGAGTCTGGGTGACCATAAACATATATACAGTTCCGCCATATGCGAACATCTTTTAAATAGCAGAGATTGTGCCGCCAAATTTAGTGTTGACTGGTTCACTGTTCTGGAGGCACTTTACATCGGGTCCCGCAAGCCTTCTTTGTGCAAACAACGTGAGTGTTTGCTGGGGACTCGCTGTCATCTGCCTCTAGTTCCTTCTTGCATATACAAACATATATATATATATATATATATATTTTTTTTTTTTTTTCCACCTATTCTCATTGTACATTTCTCTGTTTTAATATTGAATAAGATCTGTGGAAGCCTGACGAGCGGGAGCGAAACCGCTTCCCCTTCCCCCCCTTGTTGTTGAGTTTTTAATTTTTTTTTTATTATTTAATATTGTTTTAATATGTCTTGTAATATTAAATTTTATACTTTTATTTCGATCATTAAATTTTGTACCTACAAAAATATCTTTAAATATATATATATATATATATATATATATATATATATATATATATATATATATATGTATGTCTGTATCGAAATATAGTAGCTGAGCTTGACTATGTGGTGAACCTTTTTCAGGTATGTTTTTTTTCAATGTACCAAGAATAGGTTAGTCATGTAAGGGTGCCAGTTAGCTGTGCAGATGTCACCTTTTGTCTCATTGAAGAATGGACCAAATTAATTTATCAAACCTGATTTTTGTTGAATTTTCCATCTGTTTATTTACATATCTATAGATGAATTTCAAAAAGTCACTCACTTCTAATTGGCTCCTAGCCTTATATCCTTGTTGTGACAGCTTTCTTGTTGGTTGTTCACATTTTCTATTTATAAAAATGTGAAAATTTAGGTCTCCTTGTTATTATTTGTTTCTTCCTTTTCTTACATCTTGGTTGTGAAAGTTTTCTGATTGGTTGTTTGAACTATGGCTTTGTTTGCATGGTGATTTATATTATCCATCTATTTTTAGAGAACTGTTTCTTTATGGAATCTTCCCCATCCACTACAATCTTAACCTCTTCAAGTCAATCATTATCTATTCTACATACCCTTATATTATACACTTCTTACTTTCTTCCTTTATGCCTTTAAAACAATCTCATTCAGTTATCCTCTACCTTAAGTGGTGCTTGGCCTTGTATTGAGGGAACAACAGCACTCAAAATGAGACAGAAGAAAATACAGTAAACAAAATGTTTTTAAATTTATCTAGTGTAGTTTTATAGTCATAAATAACAGTAATATTATAGAAATAACATAAATATTATAGTAATAGATAACAGTAATATTATGATAATAAATAACGATAATATTATAGTAATGAATAACAGTAATATTATAGTAATAAATAATAGTCATAAATATTCAAGTCTGCTTTGCTAAATTGTTATCCTAACTTTTTCTTCATATGACAACGATCTGACAGATATGACAGTTTTGGTCTGTGATTGACATCACATTTAATTCTAAGTGACAGATTACAATTTCAGCGATAATACAGGAAACTGAGCCAGAGTCGTAATTTGATTTTTATTGGTACGACTAATGAAGTGTTTCCATAATTCCATAGTTTATATTGGTTTCATCATCGTTGTTGCTTATAGTGCAATCATTGACCAATGTGTTCATCCTTTCATATTTATATTACATACTTATTTGGTTATTCTTGCAGATGTTTTGTGAAGCATAAGGAGAGCCATAAACACACAAATGCTGCTGTGGTTTCTGTAGTAGATAGATTTTAACAAGGTGAAATTGTTAACCTCATGCCCATCAAAACACTTTTTAATTTAGAGTTGTTTTTTTTTTTTTCTAGATTGGATGCCAACCAAAGCTAGAGAGCCCAGTCTATCCTGTTATTTTACCCATAGAATAGGAAGAAATATGGATTCATGCCTTTCCTAAGAGCATTAGTTTGAATTGAATATCAACTGTTTGAAAAAGAATTTGAAATCTGTTTGGTGATTATAGTTTCTATTTCATTTACCATTAGATCAGTCGCACTTCTTTATTACACATTGTAATCTGCATATGATCCAGTATTTACAGTCTTTACATGTAGACTATTGTCTTCATCTTTGTTGTTTTTATCACTTTGTTTTGGCCATTATGCTCTCTGATCTTTATCAGGTGTCTCTTGATCTGGGCAACCAACTGGGAAATCTGAACTGAAACCTTTTTTAAATCTAACCTCAGTGTTCTGTTTATTGATCACTTTCAACAGATTCCTAGCCAAGTATGAAGCATTGTTACCAAAAAGAGCACCTGTGGACATATACAGACAGATCACTTTTGATTTGAGTGGCAAACTTGATATCAAGGCCATGCAGCTAATTCTCAAGATACGAAAAATGGTTGGAGAGTTTCCAGACAGAATGAGTATTACAGAAATATAAGAAATAATGAAACTTCTGTTATGGTAATTTACCCACGCATACATGGACTCTCCCAGCTATAAATAGGAGCAGGTACTGCCTGTTGAAGAGGAATGTTTCTAGCAGTCAGCTCTGACAGTTGAACCAAACATTCGTGCTGTAACACTCTCGTTTGTATTACTGATTCTGTTAATATATTTGTTTAACTCAATTCCTCTCTTTGAGTCTTTATTTCTGGCCCCTAACAAGGCTACAACAACTTCAGAAAAAGAAACACAAAGAAACAGGAGATATGAATTAATGAATATAGTAGCACTACTTATAAAAACTGGTCCACTAATAAAAAAAACAGTACAAAAATTTTTTTTGAGGTGGGAATAATTTTTTTTGGTTAACATTCATCAAAATAAAAAAAAATATTGACTTTTTTTTCATAATTTTAGAAAGGGAAGATCATTTCATAACATAAATACATTGTATAACTGATCCCAGACTTTTTACAGAGTTATCTGGACTTAGTTTTTAATACATAGAACTGCTAATTTTTTTTTTTTTTTTTTTTTACAAAAGATTTCTTTTGAATAAAGAACAAATGCATATGTACATTTTTAATTAAAGAACAAAGTTTACATAAATTGATAAAAATATATATCTTTTGATTCTTGGGCATCTTGAGGCAGTATAATGGGTAGCAAGCTTGTCTTGCTAAATCAATTACGACTGAATAATGAGTTCGATCCTCACTGGGTGCCCCATACTTTCGGCCTTGTGCCACATCTAATGTATGCTTAGAAAATCCCTATATCTGTTGATTCTTCCTTTAAGATAATTTTCCCAGGATGAGGAAAAATTACAAGCAGCAGAAAATATGATTCTGCAGAAGGATAATAAAAATTCCATGGTAGGAGTGAATAAACCACAAAAGAGTCTTAAAGAAAACCATAGCAAAAAGAACACATCTACTCAAAATCAGGAAAAGATAGCTGAAGATCCTTGGACACACAATGAGGAAGGAAGGCTTGGAAAAACTCTCACAATGTATAATGATAGCAAGAGCAATAGGGGAAGCTTGTGTAAATGGACAGTTGAAGAGGCGGTAAGGGTCTTAGTAAAGGAGAAAAACTGTTAAGAGCCACACAATAAACAGTTGTAGAGAGCCATGATCACCTATGTCTTGAAAGGATGTGGTACATAAAAGAATTATTATCCCCCAATCTTTGCATATGTGCTTCAAAAAATATTCCCCTTACAAAAAAGATTATGTGGAAAATCTTTAAAAAGTTTACAAAATACAAAAAATTGAAGAAAATATACAGATATCAATGATGTAAGCACAGTTTCAAACTTGACATTTGTAAGTCGCAATATGTCCAATAACTTCAGGGATCAATTTCACATTGCATTTATATTATGAACAGGACCTCAAGTTTCACCCACCCATTATAAATTGATAAAAAAATAAATATTTTTTGATTCTAACAAATATTGTGGCTTCAGGAAGATCTAATGAATAGTAAGCTACAAAAAAATCCCCACTGACAAATTTTCCCTATTTTTCTATGAGTGGACCACTAGTGCCAAAATAGTAAATATATATACAAACATAATATCTATATTCTTCCTTATATATATGGTGGACTCTCCTGTCATATTAGACATAAGGTCAAACAGCACAGTTACTAGGAACCGAGAGCCAGACACCATCACATATGATCTGATTATAGTCGTAAAGGCTTTGTGCAGAACCAACCACACATTTTGAAGGGCTGAATACAGAGACCTGTTGCACTACATGCCACAAGGTCTCCAAACAACCCCCCGCAGGTTTTGAATTCAGAGTTATCCTTCTCCTAGACCAGTTGCCATCCAAGGCTATAAAACCCAGTATGTCCTGCTATTTACCCATAGCTGTAGGGAAAAGAACAGGATTCATACGTTTCCTAAGGGTATTAGCACATAAGTTAATGTAATGGATTTGACTGGAATTTGAACTCGGCACTTCAATTCTTCAATCTGAGCTGCTATCCACTACTCCACTGTGTCTCCTATATAAAAATATGCACTATCACATATATATGTATCTCTCCCTCTTTTGGTAACCATTTTCTAAAAAACAGTTCTGTAATGACAATGGTGGTGTTAATGTATTTTGCCCAGGAGGTACAAATAGTGGCCAGAGGGCTGTCCAGTGTCCAATGCCGAGCCTCTCAAAAGTGTAAGAAGCAATAATAAAAGCTTAGAAATATGATCAAGTTGAATCAGACTGGAGTTGAAAGAAACAGAAGTTAGTAACAGATGAGTGAGTTGAATCTGTGCCAAACTGTTTCCGAGTAGCAGTCAGGTGTGGGTAAATGGAAAGGGAGATAGGTGTCTATCTGATCTCCTACTTTAGTTTGGAAAGTATTGAGGAATGGCTGATGGCATAGTGGACAGAGATGACAGAGAATGAGAAGGGATGTGTATTCTTTATTATTAGTTATTATATGTAATATTTTATTTGAGAGTTACCTTATCTAGGTGAAAACCTGGAAAAATCATTATATTTTTTTTAATGAAAATGTTTAATAATTTTTAATTTTAAATAAATTTTATTATTTCAAAGCATTTATTAGAATGAAAAAATCCATAGTTTAAAATAATGAAAGGGGGACTGCACAAATAAATTTAAATGATGATTTATAAAAAATGCAAAAAAGATGGATACATGAAAAGTAAGATGTGTACAATATATCAAGTGTATTCAATTTCAGCAACATCAAACCTGGTCAGTAACTAGATGGATGAATGCTTGGGAATACCAGGTGCTCTAAGCATCAGAGTGGTGTAATGGAAAACAGCACAGAATTAGAATTTGGAGAGCTGAGTTCTAATTCCAGTTGGGTTCGTTATATTGACTTAAGGAAAAGTATGAATCCACCTCTTCTCTCCACAGTTATGAGTTAATTAGTAGGATTTTCATCAGTAAGTCATTATCTTCAAAATATTCTTACAATGTAAAAATATTTTCTGGCTTTAAAGAAAATGCAAAAGATTGATAAGCCATAAAAAACAAATCAATCAATAAAATTTATTTTTAAGCAATACTTCACATTTCCCTCATTGCTTATTAAAATTAATCAATTTTTTTATTGTTTGCAACTCTATATTTTTTGTTTTTTTACTACTGTTCACCCAATACAAGGCCTAAGAGCTACTCCAAGTAGAGGGTTACTAAATAATGTTGTTGTAAGGATGTACAGGGAAGGAACAAGAGGAGCATATTCTGTGGATATGTAGAATAGGTAGCAGTTGACTCCTGGACTTGAAGAGGTTGATTGTAGTTATCAGGGAAATATCTTCTTAGGAGTCTGTTTCACAATGCAAAAGTTCCGGGGAAGAAAATGTTTGGGTAGAACTTCCTCCTTACCAATGAAATACGAAGGGAATGAGGATGATTTGATAACATGTACATGACATGGCGGGTCTTGGACTGGTAGAAGATGCAGTGTAATTCACCTGAAGGCTACATATATGGAGAACCCAGTCAGAAACAAACTCACTACATCAGTCAGAACTTACTTGTTTGGCTTGCTAACCACTGTTCCATGGTTAGGTGACTGTTATATTGACTAAATTTAACTTTGTTTTACACAGAAGGACAAGAGTAGTACACCTTCCGATGACCAAGTACATTACAGTAGTGCTTAGACTAGTGAGATGAGGTTGCTAATAAATCTATTCCTAACTTTTTAAAAATATTTATTTTCAATGATTTACCTAAAACATTAACATAATGAAGTTAATATATTTGCATATAGAATGTACAAATAACATAATAAACTGTTTAAATGTTGAAAATAATCTTCTAAATGTTACTTCGGAATTAAGAAACAGGAATATTTTATTAGGAACAAAAAGTGTACTGAACTACTATGTAATATCCCTCTTCTTACATGGCAGTGAATACTGGATAAGAAAACTTGGGGTAACAGAGATGTGGTTATATAGAAGAATGCCGAGACTTTCATAGACAGTGCATGTGAGCAACAAGGAAGCATTAAAGAAAATTGAAACAAAAAGGTCACTTATATTTAAAATCAGAAACAGCTGAAATTTCTGGGTCATATAATGAGGAAAGGTGGCTTGGAGAATTTTACATTCCCAGAATATACTGAGGGCTGAGAGAAATAGCAAGTAATAGCAAGTAACCTACCTAATAGACTTGTGCAAATGGATGATGGAATAGGGAATGAGAAGGACAGTAAATAGTAGCTAAAAAGGATAGGAAGTTATGGAGAGACATGATCCCCTTGAAGGAACACAACTCATAAAATAAGAATATCATCACTGTAATAGTCTTATTCTCTTAGTGATACTTACCTGTTCAGGTAGCGTATGTTTCATCTATTTTAGTGCAAGAGTTTTTCAAAAGATCAAATATAACCCAGAAAAATAGAGAGTAATTTTATTACTCTCCATTTTTCACATCAAATGCAGAAGGTTGGGAAAGGAGTGCTCAGCCCTGGGCATCCATATTGGGAAGATATCTAATCAAAGAGTGATATAAAAATTTAGTTTATATTTGATTTGAATAAAGTGTTTATTTCATATTTTATCTGTTTCTATATATTTAAAATGTCTTCCTTTCTCACATTTCTCAGTACTAGGTCCTATGGGCCCACTACTTGAGTCTTAGTTAGTAGGGATACAATCAAGTTGGTCCCAGGCATCACCAAACCTCTGCATGTTATTGGCTTGGCGCCTCATTTAATTTTTTTTTTTTTTTTAATGTAAACTTATTATTAATAAAAAGTTTATTTTTAAACTAAACAAAAATTTAAGATGAAAGATTTACTCATAAAATATATATAATTTTATTTTCATATGAAAATTCAATGTCCTAAAAACAAATTATCAACATTTTCCTTATGTAATACACACACACATATATTATATATATATATATATATATATATATATATATATACACACACACACACACGTGTCATTGTGGTAAACTCTTACATATTAAATCTAACATGTTATGCAAAACAAAAGTTGTTTTTATGAACCAAAGTCATTTGCAGCATTCAGTTACTCTTTATCCTTCTCTCATTAAGCATCTAATTTGTTAGCTGCCAGAAGCTTATCTTCTCCATTATAAGTTAATATAAAATACCGAACGGGTATTGGCATTTACAAAATTTTATGTGATAGGTACTGACATTTATGCATTTGAGAGCAATTCTCTAATAAAAGCAATTTTGTACAAGAGGAGAAGAGGAAACTGTGATATCAATTGTGTCATCCATCTTCATTCGAGTGGAATCATACAGTAGTTTTTTTGAGGTGAAGAAACACAAGCCAAATAGGGTTTCCAAATGTCTCATTATGGCTATTAATCTTAAAAAGGGTATATTTTCATAATTGCTCAAAGATATTTAGGTTAAGAATTTCTAGATGCCACTTACTAACAAACAGTCATAAGGTTAACTGTACTTTAACTTTCAATAGGCTTATGGCTATATCCCATTGAAACATCAGTTCTTCTACAATCACTGAAGTTAAGCAATGTCGAGCCTGGTCAGTACCTAGATGGGTGACAAGTCAGGAATACCAGGTGTTATAAGCTTGAATGTGTAAGTGGTGTAATAGATAATGGCATGGAGTTAGAAATCAGAGTGCTGAGTTCCAATTCTAGTTGGGTTTGTTACATTCACTTATGTATAAATACCATTGGGAAAAGTATGAATTCACCTCTTCTCCTCTCAGCTATGGTTTGGTTGGTGGGACTTCTATCAATAAATTATTATCTTCTCTCAATCTTACAATCTAAAAATATTTTCTAGTCTTAAAATAACCTGCAAAAGGTTGAAAAGCCATAAAAAACAAATCAATCAATATGATAAGGTCACCTATAATATTTTTTTCTCAATTTTGCTCCTTCTGATTTCACAAACCATGTATTTATACATAAGAACTATGCACAGGGAAAGCATTTTTGATGGGTAATATTTTGTTATAGGAAATAGATAAAAGAAATTCTGCCTTTTATATGATAATAAAAAATAATTGGTAAAAATTATGCAACTATTTAATATGCTTAATAATTTCTGTCTGAATTAATTGGATGAGGAATATTTACAGATTAATATCATATATTTGTTGTTATTATTTTTTTTATTAATGTTGACCCAATACAAGCTGCACGAGCCACTCATGGTAGAGGATTACAGAATGAATTTTTTTTTATGATCAGAGGAGGAGGTAAAAATGCAATTTAAGAAGATATATAGGAAAAATAACAGTTAACACTATACATAAGGAGGTGTCGAAAATGTAGTGATTGGGAAACATCATCTTGGGAATCAGTCTGTTCCATGAAGAAGCAGTTCTTATAAAGAAGCTGTTTGAGTCGAACTTCCTTCTTACTAATGGAATATGAGGAGAATGCCAATGGCTCATCCCAGTGTACATGTCATGGTGGGTTTTAACTGTGTAGATCAGAGAACAGCTACCCAAGGCTGTGCCCTCTGATTGCACCAGAGAGAGGGATTGGTGCTTGCACTGAGGCAATAACCGACAGTTGAGGGGGTTCAGGCAATTTTTGTTCCTAGCCTGAGTGTATGCACAGGCTCCCCACATTAAACTGGCCTTGTGTCAAAACCTGACCTCATGGGTGGGGGTTGAGTAAATACAAACTGTGTAGGTCAGAACTGCTGGAATTAAGGAATGTAGCTCGTCAGAACATTTGCCATGGAAATAGCAATATAATCAAACATTTTAGTCATTGTGCCTTCCTGTCTTATTCAGGTGTCCGTCTTTCTGATAACCTTCAAATTTTGAACTGAACCCTTTATTTAATCAAATTGTTCTACTGTCCATACCTAGTAATATTTCATCTTGTTCTTATTTAGTGTTGCTCATCACCATCAGCAAGTATGACAGAAGAACATTAGGTTGAAACCTCCAAGTTCTAGATTCATAATTGTCCCTCAGGACAATAGCATTGTGGTTTAAAGCATTAGTTTGTGAAGCTGTTGATATAGTAATTGTGAGTTCAATCTCTAGTTAGAGTAGTACAAACTCAGTGAAAACAGAAGGAGCAATAACTGAGTAATACTAAATATGAAGAAGATGAGATATCCCTAGCTATAGACAGTGGAATGAGAAAAATTTACCCTGTAGTTTAGATAAAATGTTCAGTTTGAAATCCCTTGAAAGCTACCTAAATTGACCGATGCAACACAATTTTTATTACCTTTCCCTTTTAACCTAAGGCCATTACAACCTATGCTTAAAATATGTAAAGATTTATGATTTGAAGATTTTTATTTATTTTTCAGATTTTCTTTTCCCTCCTTTCTGATTTTGATTCTTTTAAGAATGTCTTCTAAGTCATTTTCTAAAGACATACCGCTAATTTTTTGTTTAATTTGAAAATTAACTTTTATAAAGAACTAATGTTTAAAAGTTTTTGTTTTCTTTGATGTGTGTTTTTTTTTGTTGTGAATCTTGTCACCTTATCGTGTCCAACTAAAAATTCAAAATCAGAAAAAGCAGAGTTTTGAATTAGAATTTTGATTCATTTCCAAGGTTTGGTTTTTCTCACTTTTGAACTCTGTAAAATTTCACTATGTTGACATTATTTGAAATTACTGTATTTGGATATTTCTAGCCTTTCTTATCTACAATCTGCAAAATTATGGATAATGTGTTTTTTCTCAGGTTTCTTCCAGTTCAATATTTTTTCAATCCTAGGAAATGTGTATAATATTCTTTGTACACAATTCTCATTTATAAGTCTGTTATATGAATATTGTTGCCACATTTGATCTGGTCATTTTACTAAGAAGAATTTGCAATGTTATCTATCCTGATCTGACATCTTAGCTTCAGCCACCACTATAAGCTTTTTTTATAGATATTTTCATGACAATTATTCTCATGAGTTTTCCTTTTTGGTACAATGATGTCATGAATTTAAGTGTAGTACTAGATTGACAGCTACGTCTGATCATTTTACTCTTGAAATTGTTAAATGTAACCATAGGTTCTAAGAGTTCCTTCTCTTGCACTTCACACCTATGGAAATCTACTCCAGTTTTTGTTTTCCAATCGACGAAAATGTTAAAAATTTTAAATGCAGTATCAACTGTAATCATATTCTCACTTTCCTTCACTTTCAGTAACTTATTATGTCTTAGTGGCTTTATCAGCATGCTTGCAGTTAATTATTTTTAAATGACATTTCACCTCCTTTAAAGTTATCTGATGCCATGATTTGCTTAATGGGGGATAGTTAGGTTTTAGTTTGAAGTTGAGTTAATTAAAACTTTTTGTATTGATAGGTCCAGTTTGCACAAGAATCAAAGTGATAGACATGGGTTCAGTTTGCGCAAGAGTCAAAGTGATAGACATGGGTTCAGTTTTGCAAGAGTCAAAGTGATAGACATGGGTTCAGTTTGGACAAGAGTCAAAGTGATAGACATGGGTTCAGTTTCATAAGAGTCAAAGTGATAGACATGGGTTCAGTTTGCGCAAGAGTCAAAGTGATAGACATGGGTTCAGTTTGCGCAAGAGTCAAAGTGATAGACATGGGTTCAGTTTGCGCAAGAGTCAAAGTGATAGACATAGGTTCAGTTTGCGCAAGAGTCAAAATGTCTCATGGTTAATTCTTTTTAATGATAAGCCCCCACTCATGACAAGTTCCTCACCTATGACATTCCAGGAGGTAATAAACTATGCAAGTCACTGATATATTCTCATACCCAATTATCATGAAATGATTAAAAAATATTTGTTAAGAAAAGTTAAACTAAATTCTTTAGTTGTTTTGTATAATGAGTAAAAGTTAACTTCTGGGTCAATAAAAAGTGGATCTACAATTATCATATCTTTTCTAATCAAGAATATTTTCTTTAGTTAAGTACATAATGAGCTAAAGTTAACTTCTGGGACAACAAAAAGTGGATATACAATTGACATATTTTCCAGTTGAGAATTTTCTTCATGCAAGGTTTATGTCAAACTAATTATCTTTCAAAAAGTTCAATACTTTCTCATGCCAAAACTTCACTGCAGGAGATATGTACAAATGAAGTTAATTATCTAACCAAATATCTAATAACTTTTAGTCCCATTATATCATTAAAATGTGAAGAGAGGATTTGGGCAAATCAATTGAACACTTTTCAAATTGATTGTCATCATAATGTCGATGCTAACAATACAGAGAACAAAAGTTTTAAAGTAAAATAAGCATATTTCTTTGAATGGTTTCTATTCTTTACATCTAAAAATTGTCTCATAGTAAAAAAAAAAAAATCTCTTGTTTTTTTTACCTTTTTAGAAACCCCCACAGTCTATAATAATGAAAAAATTCACTAGCAGCAAAACGTATAAAAAACATAAAGATATTGAAATCATTTACCACCAACCAAGTTGCAATATTCACATTTTACAATGTTTTTTTTTTTTTTTAAAAAAACATAAAATCAACCTATTTTTATTTTTTCTTTTATTCTTGAACTTTTCTTTTCTGACATGGAAAAAGAAAAAAAGTTTTCTTTGTTGAATTTCATTCTTTTCCTGCCTTTCTTTTCTCACAGACATGTCCGTTCTACTTTGGCTTTCATTCTCTTCTAGAATTTGATTCTTTGTCTGAATCTTCTCGTTGTGCCTTTCATTGGTCTGCTTCTTGTCCTACTGCTTTTCCTTCTATTTACAAGTACACAATCCCCAGTTGTTCTATCGCAAGAGTCGTGTAACATTTGACATTTTACCACTGTCAATAGAGCTCAACTTCAAAAGTAATTCTTCTGGGAAGATATTTTTTTCAAACTTTATATTAGACACAACAAAATATTTCATCATAACTATCATTATCATCTTTGCTGAAATATCATATCATTCTTAAAATCATTGTTATTTTGTAATCAAAATTATCACTGACATCCAAATTATTATCAGTGCTTCTTTATACTAGAATTCTCCTAAAAACATTACAGAAAAAGATAACTGAATATGCCAACGGTTCTAACACATTTCTAATTATTATTTCCATACTTACAAGTCATTAGATATTACTATATTGTTCAATTCTCTATCTGTTCAAAGCATTTTCAGGTAGTAAAAATGGTTATTAGCACAGAAAGTGGAATCAGAGAACCAAGTTCAAATTCTAGCCTAAATTTGTTACATTCACTTCCATACAAATGCTCCTGGGAAAGGCATGAATCCATCTCTTCCCCCAACAAATATGGGTTAAACAGCAGGATAGACTGTACTCTATCACCTCTTTAGGAAAAAGTCTAAACTGAATTTAAAATTACAGAAAATCATTTCATTGTGTTTCCTAAGAAGTCATGGCAATATATGTCTATTTTTTGAGATGAGGTATTGTAATTATTTACATTGTTTGGACTGTTGTCCTCAACTTTGTCATATTCACAACATTTCAACTGTTGTGTTCTCTGGCCTTCTTCATGTGACTGGAATTTCGAACTGAATCCTTTATTTCATCTGCCAGGGTAGATTGTCCTAGTTCCACGTGCCATACCTCTTCCAGATGTCTCAGATATCTCCCTTTAACTCAACTCTTCACGTTTTTGTTCACCACTGCAGTATCCAGAAATTGAACTCACAACTCTCCTCAAGGACATATGGCCCAGTGGATAAAAGTGTTGGTTGGATCCAGCGACTTGACTCGAACAGTTTTGTAAATAGGGAAAAAGAATTTTGCAGGAAGCCCTGATAACCTGCATCCTCAAGGGACATGGAATTTAAAAAAATATCTGTACAAATTATTCACTGATAATTTATCATATCTGTGCAAATATTTAATTATAATAGAAGCCATTCTCATACTCCATATTTAAACACTTTCAGCTTGGTCTTCATGTAATATTTTACACATCTTCTTTCAATTATTAACAGTAATAAAATCACTTGGTCATGTGTGGTCTGTTTAGTGGTCTGTTTTACCACAGATCTGTTT